CTTACGACACATCAGTTTTTCACGTAAAGTGAAAAAACGTAAATTTTTTTACACCTAACTTTTACACTTAACTGTACAAAAATGAAGTACCACATTTCTTTGAAAGAAGTACTAATCGTTCACCCAAGTTTAATAAATATGTTTGGAAAGGTAAAAAAAAAATAATAATAATAAACAAATACTTTTTTGATGTAAAAAATTTCTGTACGAACTATCGAAAGCATCATATTTCGTGCATTATGCCCGAAATCTAATGGTTCTAGGAAAAAATCCCCCCGGGAAAAATATCCCGGAAAAAAAAACCCAAAATAATCTCCCGAGATTAAATCCCCCCGAGAAATAATTCCCCGGATAAAATCCCCCCGAGAAAAAATCTCCCCGGAAAAAATATCCCGAAAAATATCCCCCCCCCCCCAAAAAAAAAAAAAAAACTTTTTTTTTACTTAAAAATTATCCATATGTAGAAATACGTAAAACGTATTTTACGTAAAAATTATCCATATGTAGATATAGAATGGGGCAACTACCCTCAAATTTTAAAACAACACATATAAAATAACTTTTTCTTTAGTCATATAGTAAATATTATACTGACATTAAAAATACCAAAAAATACATAAATGGTAGCTTGTTGCTATGGCAACTCAAAAAAATAGCTAAAAAAAGTCACAAAAACTGTGTTTACGCCGTAAAAAAAAAAAGAATTATGAGTAAAGGAGTGTCAATGAAATTTTGTATAACTGTTCTAAATATGTAAATTTGTGATGTGAGCGAAGCAGATTTTTGAATAAATATTTTTTTTTGATAAAAGACTACAGACAAATTAGGTTATTAAAAAAAAAGTCAAAATACAAAGAAAAAAACTAAATAACTCAAAATCTTAAGCCATATCAGAGATTCTACTCCGCTCATGTCATAAACATTGGTAAAATGAACAATCCCTGAAAATTTCATCATGATAGCATGTATACTTTTCAAGATTTTTTTCCCGGCATGTTTAAAAATTAAATTCTCAAAAAATGCAATACAAAAAATAAAATCATAAGTTATTGTTCATTTCATAAAAATATCTTTAAAAAAATAACTTTTTAAAAGAATATTTCAAAAACTACCAGATTCATAATATTCGTTGGACTTTTCTATTGACTTTTGATGATCATCCTTTGGTAATCGTTGACGTCGATTACCAAAGTAATCTTTCACTAGATTTAAATAAAGATAGTTTTATTAGTTTTTTGTTTATGAGTCTGCAACTTGCTAAAGTAAAATGTCCTGGTTTCATATTTAGTTTTTCATAAATTAAAATGACAGACTTTGTACCGATGTTATAACTTGCAACAGCATCGTACACTCCAAATTCTAAACTGGCTAAACCAACATAATTACTTTTTGGTAATCTATCCCATATTAAACTATTGTTTTATCATGCAGACACTTTACTAGTTCAGAATCTTTCTTAAATCAGCATATATTGGCTTGATTTTATGATTAATATCTGCAGGAACTCCTGGTCCAGATTTGTATATGAAGAAGACTTAGCTTTATCAATGTTGAATCTGCACCAACTATCACCTCCAGTTGGGAAGTAAATATCATAGTTAATTTCCTTAGAAGAAGCTACATGGAAAAGGCTAGCTAATTTTTTTTTTTTCATTTTATTCAGATCATTTGTCCTGTTGCTAATATTAAATCTTTTATCACAAGCAACTGATGTATAAAATTAATGTTTATAGTCACAAGATAGTGTAGTACACTTTAAATATAGCAACGTTGCTAGACTTTTCTTTTTTATTCTGATGATCACCAGGTACAGTGCACACTTTTCACATTGAGAACACATTACACAATGAAAAAACATTAGATTAAATTTCAGTTTCTATGATTCTGTAACCAGTAACTTTTTAATGTTTTTACTTGGTACATTTGTAACAACTTTTACTTTTTTAGCTGATGCGCCCAAAATATTTATTTCATTAGAGCTACATTCACTTTTTTTTTCTTCACCACAAATCCTCTTCTTTTCTTGTGGTAGTTTTTCTTTGCTTTACTCTATCTTTAATATTTTTGTTTCTATTAACACCCAAATCAGTAAGTTTTGACATATTTTTTAGTTTCTGCTGTTGTATAAATTGGCTTTGATAACTCGATAAAATCGTATTTAAGTGGTAAGCGAAAGATACTATGACTCAAAATGAGGTCTTGATTTTTTTTAAAAACGAAGACCAGATATATTACTGATTTTAGGAGAAATGTAGGAGAGTGCTGCTACATCGATTGATCTATACCTGTCTTAACCCAAACCCTCTGTCGATGTAGCAGCATTCCTTTGCATGTTATCTCTAAATAAGTCAATGTAGAAGCACTCTCCTACATTTCTCCCCAATTCAGTAATATATCTGGTCTTCGTTTTTTAAAAAGTCAAAACCTCATTTTGAGTCATAGTATCTTTCGCTCACCTATTTAAGTAGCAATTGTAAATGGCCTGTTTGAATATAATAAGGAACAGAATATTAAATAGCAAAGAAGATATAAATCAAAACATATATTTGAAAGTACTCCTGGATAAGTTTCCAAACAAAATATTGGCCCCCATAGCAACGCGTTGCTATGCAAATATTTTTTACTTGAGTTCAAAAAAATATAAATTAAACAAAAACTCATAAAGAAATCTTTAATTTTTTTGCAAATTCAAAATCTACATAAAAATTTGGTCTCAAATTATAAATAAAAAAAATAAAAAAAAAAATCAAATTTATAAGAAAATGTGAGGGTAGTTGCCCCTTATGTTTATTTCTTTCTTTATTTTAAATATTTATATAAAATATTTCATTTTTCGAGAAATATAGCGCATAATTTGATATTTTGATGAAAAATAAAACTATGTAAAACAAATAAATATAACTATTTTATTGATAATTTTTAATTTAAAAAAAAAAAAATTTTTTTGGGGGATATTTTCCGGCGGGATTTTTTCTCGGGGGATTATTTCGGGGGGATTTTTCCCGGGGAAGTTTTTTCTCGGGGGATTTTTTCCTGCTACCTTATCATAGTAAATATACAAGTTACAATTTTTTAATCAAGTTTGTTATCGTGACTATGGACTCTAAGAAAAGACAGAATAACCAAAAATATAACGAGGAAGCTGTTATGACGGCTGTTGCTGATGTTCGAGACAATTTTTCATGGAGAAAGGCAAGTTTAAAATAGCATGTACCTTTTCAGACAATCGGTGATAAAATAAATGACAGATACGGTTCCGCCATGCAAAAGATAAGTTAGTGTTGTTTAAGATATTTATTTACTTACTATTCTAGATGTAATTCTCCATAAGCAATAAAAATTGCATAGCCGTGGGCCCCACGTTATGTTCCAAAAAATATTTCAACTCTAAGACAGACATTTAATCACTAGTATAATATTTGCAAGAAACTATGAATTAAGTATTGCATCTTGAATAAATCTGCTAAATTTAACTTATAAAAAAAAGGGACGAAATCAAATTTTACGAAATTGTGCAAATCATCAAAAAAAATATTCAAAACAAAAACAAAAAAACAAATAAAAGATAATATTTAATATTTTCCCAAATTTTTACTATTTTGTAGATAAAACAGTTGGCTGCCTAAAGTGAGCTCATTATATTTTTGGTGGCCGTTTGGTTATATTCTATAACGTTTACGGCAAATGATCAGCAAACTGCCCGAAATTCGCCAACTTACCCTATATCGTTTTCAACATTATCAGAAAATCCTAAAAGGTTTCACATCAAGCTTTTTTAACTTTTTAAATCAAAAAAAATATTGAATATTAAATGATAATAGTTCTAGTACTTAAGTTGGTGCACACTTATTATTTAGAAATAAATAAAAATAAAACTTGTAGCAACCTAATATACAACTAACATATATGTCAGTTGTATATTACATATAGTATATTGTTTTATGAATAACAGTGCAAATTCTTATTTAATCTGGAATCCGGTTTGCACATCCAAGTTCTATTATCCAATTATATAAATCATTAGCAATTCCGACGTTAACCCACGGTCTAGAGCTCTGTGAAAATAAAGATGCAACAATGAAAAGACTCGACACATTTGGAAGAAACGCAGTTAAATCAATTTTTAATGTCTCCAAGTATAGTAAAAACTATATACACTCTCTATTTAAAATTAAGGAGATGTCAAATTATATACTTTTTTTTTAATCTCTTTTTCTTAGTTTATGTTTTTACCTTGTAAATTTATTTTACAGAGGGTGATTAATAAAATATTAATAATAATAATAATAATAATAATAATAATAATAATAATAATAATAATAATAATAATAATAATAATAATAATAATAACAACAATAATAATAATAATAATAATAATAATAATGGCAATAATAATAATAATAATAATAACAATGTTAACAATAATATTAACAATATACTGATTAGAACATAAATTTTATAGAGTAAATATAAAAAATTCTACATATTATCATTCTGAATGTTAATAATTGCTAAACTCTAAGTTATGACAAGCACAGCATTGCTATGAAAAAATTATGCAGAGGTTTTTCCTTAATTATTAGATATTTATGGAAAGGTTTTTTCTAATAATTAGTTAATTAGATAAAAAGGTTATTAAAAAATTACTATTATTAATTTTTTCATTGAAATTGATGATGCATTTCAGCATATGAATCTTGGAATTGGAATAAACTTCAAATTTTTACTTGTGCAACTTAACATCTTTTCCTATATACAGCCTGTTTTCGACGACTTTACCATCTTCTGCACTAGTTTACTAACTTAATTTAACTATTGATTTTAGTACATGTCTTTGCGTCTTATAATTCTTTTTGTAGTAACAATTATTGATTGCAAATGTTTAAATTTTTATATTTTATTTTGTAATTTTTATGACATTAACAAAATGTTTTAAAATGTAATAAAGCAATATACTTTTATAGAGTTACAAAAACTTTTATATTATTTTAAATGTAAAAAATCATTAGAAACATTTTTTACTTTTTTTTTTAATTGTGAGGTAAAAAAAATATATGATTTACAAATTAAAAATGAATTGTTTTTTTAGAGCGGCGGCAATTCTTCTCCAACTAACTCATTCACATCATATACCCACCAGTCATTTACTAGAGCATATCTTGTCAAAATCCAATGAAAATGAAACTGCGATTTGTGCGACTTCATCGCGTTAAATGTTTTGTGCAAATTCCACGAATAAAATAAAGCGTTATTAGACGGAGTAGTAAAAAACGTGTATAACATCTCTAATATTCCTCCATAATAACTTAATATATTAACATCAGTTAAAAAAAATCTGCGGTAATTTAATAATGAGCGAACTGTTAAATGAACATCTCTGTGGTTGGGATGACCAGAGCACCCATAAGGACCAAAAGTCAGAATTGATCCTATATTTAATTTAGATAGTATTCTCTCGAGATCTTTTGCTAGAATTGAAGTGTTATTCCATCTAATGGATGGATTGTCGTAAAAATTGTCATCATTAACAAAAAGTACTTCTTCACTTTCTAAGCCCAACTCATTACAGCTGCTGTATAGTTCCTTTTTTCGAGTAGGACCAAGTCCGTAAAAATTTCCTTCAGTCACACACACTACGTACAATTTTATATGCGGTTGCTTTTTAAGCTGCAAGATAGTAGGAGAAAAAAAGATGACCTCATCGTCAGGATGCGCAATAACTAAAGCTACATTGGTTTTTTCAGAGAAATACATTTCCAAAGTTGTTTTGTTTGTGTTATTTAGTATTAGTATTGTTAAGAACAAAGAAAATGCTGATATAACAAGAATTTTTTTCCATCTTATATCAAATTTGTTGCTTTTTCTGACTGCACTGCAACTTGTTAGCATGTTAAGATTTAAATTTCTCCGGTTTAAAAACTGTCATCACTCAAATCTCTTGTACTTTATTGCTTTAATAACAAATATATAAAAATAAAAAATAATTGAATAACACAATTTTTTTTCAATACATTTTCAATTTTACCTTTAAACATGCTGACCTTTTCAAAGATTTTTTATTTGCGAATTTAATTACTCTGTGCGTTTGTGAGTATTGGAATTTTTCTGCATGGCTAATTATGAATTGTCGGCCTAATTTCAGCTTCGGTTTTTTTGTATTTTTGGTATTTTTTTTTTGTTTTTTAAATGCTTTATTTTTTTTGATTCACACCAAACCGGTGTTCAAAAAAAAATAACAATAAAGGTGTGTCAATAAAACTTGATAAAAGCATGCTAAAAGTTATAAAACTTTTTGTTTCGTTATTTAAACAGCTTTTTATGCTTTATTACATAAATTTTATAATAAAACTTGAAGTTAAGAGTAAATATTACAATTGGTTAAAGTTTAATCTATTTATTTAGAATTAAAGTTTGCATTGTATTAGTGTATTATATTTATACAAATATTATATTTATATAAATATTATATTTATACAATACTTAATATAAGTATTACATTAATGTTCTAAGATTTGGTGTAGTCCTAAAAGTTTAAAGACTTGGTTACCAATTCTCCATACAACATGTAGTACAAGTTAAAAGTACTTAACTTGTGTTACAAGTTAAAACTTTAAAAAACCTTCAGAGCTCTGAAGAACAGATTGTTGAGATATTTTCTACAAAACAATGGAGTTATTCATTTATGGACATTGTGAATACACTAAATATAATTAACGAAAGCATATTTTTTTTCATAAACAATGTGTTTTTATGTTAATTTAAAATAAAAAATTGTCTGAAACTTTTTATTTTATTAAAGTTTTGTAGATTTGGAGTGTGGCTATCTTTTAAAAAAAAGCGACAATTTGACATTTTTAAAGTCACTATGAAAGGTTGTTGTAAATTTGTCTTTTTATCTTTTATTAAATCAAAACAGATTTAAGTAGAGTGAAGACCTCGGACCTACGTTGCAAAAAAAAAAAAAAAAGAAAAGAAAAGAAAAAGAAAGTTAAAATACTAATGATTGTTTTTTTCAATACTTTTAGAAATGGAAAAAAAAATTGTAGATCACTGAGCTTTTGGATGATCGTTCCTTAAATGTGTTACGCTTCTATTCACTCACTTTACATAAAAATACCAACAACTTTAAGACATATTACAAACAAACTATATATAATACTTTGGTAGCCAATAACTGTACCTATTTTTAACAGATTTTTGATTTTATATAACTACTTTTAAATAAAACATAAACTACTAATTTTCAACATAATGAGATTTCGATTGTCTGAGTTTTCAACTTACTGTATTTTCGACCTACTATTTTTTCGATAGACTACAAACTAAGTTTTTTCGCAATGTATTTTGTATATTTTTTGATTATTTTGAATCAAAGGTAATTTTATTAGCTTATATATATATATATATATATATATATATATATATATATATATATATATATATATATATATATATATATTTGAGCAGACGTACCCCAGTGATTAACCCGCTTTTCTCAGAAGCTAGAGATTCGTGGTTTAATGCCACGTCTGGGCGAGTTTTATAACATCGGTAAATAAAGAGGCGCGAACCGCTCTGTGACCGTAAGGCTATATAGACTTCATGGCGAACCTAAGAAAAAAAATAAAATTTTTTAATATGCGCTATGTGATATAATCGTCGCTATGTTTTAACAAAAAAACATACTTTTTTAATGAAAAACCTGCAAAGAAAAATTAAATTTTAGTTTTTGTTAATTAAATTTAAGACTTAGGTAACTAAAAATATTGGTTTTTAATAAATTTAGAGAATGCTGAATTTTTTTAAAAATTTTTATGTGAAGAGCTCTGTGACCGTAATGGTGACAGTTTCGTCACAAATAAAAACAAACAACATATTGTAGTAATTGAATGCCTTTTAGACTTTTTTTCAGGAACACTAGCTACCAATTTTTCAGGAACACTAGCTACTAATTTTTCATGAACACTAGCTACCATTTTTTCAGGAACACTAGCTATCAATATTTGACACTTCTCGGGTATAATTGAGTATGAACCTTTTTTTATTTTTTATTTTAATGTAATAATTGTATTGCCTAATAAAATATTTTACAGCATGTAAAATCCGCAGACTTATAGATTCAAAGTCTAGGTTTGAAAAAAATTAAAATTAAAATACAAACAAAGGTGCCTGATAGAAGTCATCCCAAAAAAATCCCAATGATCTAATCCCCAGAACCTTTTTTTAAAAACAACATGTATTGTCGGTATACAAGAGAAATGCAACAAGTTTATTTTTGGCAGTATGAAGTTATTTATACCATTATTTAGTATTTTAATTCTTTATCGTTTGATATACCATACAAATTTAATAAATCAATTATTAATGAATTATTAAGAGTATTTATTAACTATCACGAAAAAACTTATTTGTTCATTATCTTAAAATGATGTTTTTGGACTTTGTGCATTTTCCTTGTATACCGAAAATATATTGTATAACTACTTATCAAAAGTATTCATAAATATTTTTTATTGAAAGAATGAAGTTTTACAATTTAATTTTGAACACTGGAAAAGTTATCGATAAATCAAAATTTGGTTAAACAATCCTATTCCAGAGATAAGAAATGATATATTCCAGAGATACGAAATGGTATAGCACGATATAAAATACTAAATTTATTAAACCTTGTTTTACAAAACAGTTCATTTACGAAATTATTATTTCTTAAGGTGTATTTGTTTATGGGAGTCAAAAAAAAAGTCTTTAAAAACTAATGGGCATAAATTGTTTTTTCACATATAAATAAAACATAAAACATTAAATATATTTAATTCGTATACATTGAGTATTCTTGTTTCCATAAAAAAAATGGTCTAGTATATGAAATCGATCTGCAAAATTAATTAACTTACTTTGTCTTATACTACCCCAGGCAGTAATTACATAATTTATAATACTGTGAACAAATAAATAATAAAGTTGTGTTAAACTTTTTTTTATTTTAATATATTCTAGCCTTGTATAAGGTTTCAGTACTTTTAGACACTTTAGTTATTTCCATGTAATGGTCTCGTCAAGAAAACCACCTTATAACTTTGTAACTAAATCTTTTTTTATTTCAACTTAATCAATAAAAATTTACGGCATATATGTGGTAAGGAACGTTTTTTGGAGAGACTATCCACTTTGTTTTCTTAATGTTTAGGGTTAGTTTATATATTATATTTGAACCAGTTTTATACTTTTTGCATTCATCTCTTATAGTCGAATATAGTTAGTAAATATCATTATTAGAGAGAAATGAATTTGTGTCATTTGCTAACATAATATTTAAAAGATTGGAGGCTTTATAAAAGTCATTTACATAAATCAAGAGCGAAAGTGGCCATAACATAGAATCTTTAGAAAAAAAACTTCTTGTTTTATTGGTAATGAATTAGGCTTTCTCCAAGTATATATTACACCATCTGATCCAAGCATGTTAATTTTACTTTTATCTGTCCAAATCCAGTCATAAAAGTCATCAAAAGCTTTGTTTGCATGAAGTTTAGCGTAATTCATAAAAGCATAATTTAAACGAAATTTAGCATAATTTAAACGAACTTGACGGTGACGAGAAACTAACAATGGCTTCAATCAAAAACTAATTCTATTGGGCTTAATTGACTGTTCGTAACACAGTGGTTAGCGCTCTTACCTCATACGCTAGAGCCCAGAGGTGAAAAAAAAAGCACAAAAAGGTGAAAAAAAAGCTCAATCTTAGGACCGTACTGCTTTCTCTTTATATAAATGATCTATCTCTTACCTCGAACATATTAAATTTTATTTTGTTTGCGGATGACTCCAATCTGTTTTATTTTCATACGGATATTAAAACCCTCTTTAAAGTAGTTAATGAAGAAATAAATAAAGTAAACGAATGGTTTATTTGTAATAAACTTTCACTTAACGTTAACAAAACTAAGTTTATTCTATTTCACAAACCAACCAAAACAGGAAACCTTCCTTTAAAATTACCCTATCTTAAAATCAATAATATAAATGTTACTAGGCAAACAACTGTAAATTGTTTAGGTATTATTTTAGACGAAAATTTAACATAGAGGAAACATATAAGCACTCTTAAAAGAAAACTTTCAATAAACATTGCAATGATGTATAAAGCAAAACCATTTTTGGACATAAGATCTTTAAAAACATTATAGCTATCTAACTAACGGCAATATCGTATGGGCAAGCATCAGCTACGCTAAGTTAAAGAAAATTTATACTAAACAAAAACATGCATGTAGAATTGTATTTGGAGTAAAAAGAACTGTACCTTGTGAGCCACTTCTACGTATACTCAATGCATTAAATGTGTTTAAAATTAACATATTCCTCGTCATACAGTTCATGTATCAAATAAAACATGGACTGTCTCCAGCGATATTCTATCCTTATTTTAGAGAAGTAAGCGATAAATACCCCACCAAGTTCTCAGAAAATAACTTTGTAACTCAAAAATATAATCTAAAGTTGTGTTCTTATTCTATTAGTACCGGGGACCAATTTTGTGAAAAAACTTTCAGCATATTGTTAATATTAAAAAAAAAACATTTCCGCAATTCAAATCTAAATTAAGCCGTTACTTAGTAACGGATTTTAACGTAGCAGATCTTCTTTGTCACTTTTAAAACTTTAAAATTTATTAAACTAAATTAGCACCATTAAATCTAGACCATTTAAGAATATAAAGAGATTCAGTTTCTTTATCATACTTTCATTGAAAATATATACTCTTAAAGTTACCTACAATTTTCTTGATATATTTTATGATATTGGAACAGAAATTTTATTTGAATTTTGAATTATTTTGAAAGAAAATAATATATACAAAATATATATCGAATCACATTCAGAATATTTTTGTCATTTTAATACTTTTTTTTTTTTTTATTAATTTTATTTCTTAACATTTTAAAATTGTCTTTTTTTGAATGCTTATATATTACGGATTATTATATATTACGGATATTTATTTGCGTTACTATTGGGGCTCGGTGATAAGGCTAATTTATGCCTTCTTCTTGCTCCAGCCAAGAAGAAGGCATAATCTTTAACAAGTTAGAAAAAACGTTGTATTGAGCAACTTTTGTTAGAGATTAAATTGATTTAGGTATCAGCATGTAAAGAGGTAACAGCTTCAGGATTAAATGGTAGAAGTAAGAAAACTTGAAGAGAGTGCCTTGTATGAAGTTTTAGTTGAGGAAAAAAAATGCTCTTACTGTTTATATTAGAGAAACACCATAATTAAGGAAGGCTAAAGCCTGATGATGGTGATGATAATGGCAATGATTATTATGATGATTATGTTGATCATAATGATGTTTATATATGCATAAATATACAAAATACAACATGAATTTTGAATTAAAAAAGTATACTTTAGGATGTATAAATGTTTATGCAACCCCGGTCGCAAACGCGGCCCAGGCCCCGGTCGAATTTCAACTCTGGTCGCTTCCTAGTTCAATAGCTGTTATTCATTAATAATAATAATAATAATAATAATAATAATAATAGTAATAATAATAATTATAATGTACACTGTGACAACTGATGAAAACAATTGTGGAGCACAACAACAGAAGATGTTGTGCTATAACAGCTATAAATGTTTTATAATAGCATTTGTTACTTTTCAATGTATATAGATATTATTTAGTATTTAATAAATAATTTTTGCAGTAATCTGATTTATCAAGTTTATTTTTGAATTGGTCAATTGTCATTGACTTGATAATATATGGTGGTAAACCATTCCAAGCATTTACGACTCTACAGGAAAAGAAATTATATCTATAATTGCTCTTACAATATGCTTTTGTTAACTTTTGGTTATGACTACGAAAATTGTAAGGTTTTAATTGAACTTGAGATGTCGAGTCGTTTATCCAATTTATTTTCTCATAACCGTTTTGTATTTTATATTGAAAAATAAAATCTCCTCTTAAACGGCGTTCTTCTAGAGTTGTTAATTTCATTAACTGTAATCTTTTTTCATATGGCATTTTTTTAAAAGCTGGTACGAGTTTTTTTGCCCTTCTCTGTACTTTTTCTAACTTTAAGATGTCTTGCTTCAGATAAGGGCACCATGCTTGGATTGCAAACTCAAGATGCGGTCTTACAAAAGTTGTATATAATTTTTTTGTCATATTTGAGTCGAAATATTTATGAGTTCGTTTAATAAGAGCAAGCATTTGATTTGATTTACCAACAGCTTTATCAATATGACTGGTCCATTTTAAATTAGATTGCATCATTACTCCTAAATCACGTTCTACTTTTGATGCTGCTAATATATTATTCTGTTGAGTTTCAGCGCCGAACATTGAATAAGTTACACAAGGATTTTTAAAACCAATGTGCATAATTTTACACTTTTCATAGTTAAATTTCATTAACCATAGTGACGACCATTTCATAATATTATCAATATCTAGTTGTAATTTGTTTATACGGATATCTTCATCTGATTTAAAAATATTTATAATTTTGCTATCATCTGCATACAATTTAATATTATTTTTTAATGTGTCTGGCAGATCGTTTATAAAAATAAGAAACAGAAGAGGCCCAAGGACAGAACCTTGTAGAACTCCACTCTCAACTGTTAGCCATTTTGATACACAATCCCCTAAAATTACTCGTTACTTTCTATTATGTAAATAGGCTTCTATCCATTTTAGAATTACTCCAACTATACCATATGATATTAACTTTGACATCAATCGCATATGAGGTACTTTATCAAAAGCTTTTGAGAAATCTGTATACAACACATCAACACACCAGCCATTCTCAATAGCATCAAGTAAAATATCTTGTGTTTCTAGTAAAATATCTTGTGTTTCTAGTAGTAAACCATGTTGGTTACTATTTAATAAATTGTTTGCTAACATGTAATCCATTATTTTGTTACCTAAGATTGACTCTAGAATTTTGCATGGTATTGACGTTAATGAAATTGGTCTATAGTTTGCAGGATCATTTTTATCTCCATTCTTGTGTAGTGGTGTTACAGTAGCCATTTTCCATATGAGTGGAATTTGTTCTTCTTGTAAGGATCTTTTGAATAGTAACTCTAGAGGTTTGCAAAAACTATTTTGACATTTTTTTAACACATATGAACTTACACCATCTGCTCCTAATGCTTTATTGACATTTAGTTCACTTAGTTTAATTCTAACGATGTCTTGAGTTATTATTGAGTCTATATCTAATTCTAAAGTCTTGCTTGTTTTTAATGCAATATTAGGAAAATTTGTTGGATCTTCTATAACAAATACTGAGTGAAAGTTTTCATTGAGGATATTAGCAATATCATCACGATTTGTTTGTAAAGAACCATTTTTATCTGTTATTATATTAATGCCTAATTTTATTTTTCTGTTTGACATAACATATGCATTTGTGTCTTTTCTTATTGTTTAATGATGTAGCATCTACAACTTAGACAATTTTTAGTTATATCTATACTACGTTTTTCGGAAATAATTACATCACGAGTCTGAGATTTTTTAACATATTTAGTCAATGTATTCGTCACAATGTTTTTTTTTATTGAATTTATTATTAGGCAAAAGTGGTTTGAATGAACTAATATTTAAACTCATTGATTGCTAATTTTGTGTACGTTTTATGTTTTGTGTACATTAAATTTGATATTTGTATAAAACATCCTTGCAGTTTTAGACTTTCCAGAAGCAATTAGACGACCTAAAACTGTTCTTTGGTCTCATGGTGTAAAAAAATTTTTTTCGACCTCTTTAGCCTTATTTAGTTGTAAATCATTTTCTAAACTCAGCAGTATTTCACGATAAGATTTTCCAGATTTAAGCCTTTCTAAAATATTTTTTTCTTGTTCAACATTTATTTTCTCCATGATGATAATAGCAATTTTTTTTAACAAAAAATATTTTTTAAACAAAATCTAACTTTAAACTATGTTTAATAGGGTGGTTCAAATTTAGGTCAAAACATTTTTACGACTAAAGTGGAAGTTTATAAGGTGCACAGACCCTTGTTTTATATATAGGATTTTTTTTTTTTTTTGAAGTTTAAGGGTGGCACACGGCCCAAAAGTACTTTTGTTTTTACCCTTTTTTGACGTTTTTTAACCCGCGTGTGCCACCCTTAAACATTATTAAATTCAAATTATTTTTTTTTAATATTTTTACAAGAACCTATATAATAAAATAAAAAGGCACTCTATTTGTATTATTATTTTTAAACACTGAAAAACTTATAGAAAAGTCGCTAAATATTGACAAAAAAACGATTTTCTTTATTTCAGTGATCGAGGTAGCTTTCGTTGCTGCTTGTGATAAATAACATGTAGACATGGAAAAAACTTTAAAACTACGTACACCTATACTTATATCAAATTGTGGTGCTTTAAAAAAATTCCAGTGATCGGAGCCTGAGATCTAAAAAAAACCGTAAAACTTAGCCCCCCCCCTACCCTAATGGTGAGGGCAATAAGTTGCCCAAATTTATACTGTTGTTATTCTGAACTAAATTTACATTTATCGACAGATTTAAAATTTCATTTAATAATATTGTAGCGTTCAAAAGTTATGACCATGTAAAGTTGCCACCCTCCCCAAAAAGAGGAAGTTAAAAGCTCAACGTATAGTTCTATGGTATTTTTATTACAAAATCTAGTTTAATGTATTACATAATTTTTGATATTAAACTTAGAGATGAATCTAGATGAAGTTGGATTATCACTTCCCTAATAATATAACTCTATTACGAGTTGCAGGTAGAGAAATGGGAATAAATAAAAATAAAGTTAACGTAATTTTAAACTTTGATTAAATAACCAACAATCAGCATTTTAAAATACTACTAATTACATTTGATGTTAAATCTTTTTTCTTTGTTTTTTTTTTATTTCTTTTGTAAACATGGTTTAACAAGAACAAATCTTGTCTCTTCTTCTCTTTCGTTGATTTTCCAATCAGCTCTTTTTCTAGATTTATGGTCCTCTCTGATGAATCGTTAACCACATCTAGAGATTTAATAGTAGATTCAAACTCAAGATAAAAATTGTTAAACTTCCAAAACTGCGAGGGGATCTTTAGCCACTGCAACTCACCCTTTCCATGTCCCATCTTATCAAAGATGAGCCAAGATTGCTCAGTTATTAGAGAACAAAGAGATGGAGGCTAATCTTCTGAAAAGTCTAGAGAGTGAAGAACCTCTTTATTGACCATAACACGTTCAAGTGGATACACTATTGGTTTGATGGGAAGTTTATTGTATAATGATGTGGCAATATCTTCTCTGTTTGGGCAATGTTTATCTGCTAATGCGAGCACAACTAAGGCAGGATCAAGGTATCAGGTGTGTCTGTCAAATGATTTTATTTCTAAAGTAGCTCCAAGAAGATTTATATCCATGAACCTCTTCATCTGCCACAGAGCTTTCATATCCTAAAAATATGTTTAACAATATTAGATTAAGTCATCAAACGGAAAATTAACTCATCATTTTTTACGCTTTTTCTTATTTATAATGATTATTTTTAACCTGGTATGGCGCAGCAGTTGCCGATACTGCTCTAAGAAACCATTGAGTGTAAAAGATACCAACAAACATAGCCATTTCACGAATCTCTTCTTTATTTTCTTCTGATAAACTTGGAATAGCTTCCAATAGTAAATACATTTGAAGATAATACAACGCTTTTGACATGAATCTTGCATGATGTATTGGACCAGGAATACGAAATTTGAACCTATCTTTTTGAGAAACTACCATCAAAGTTCCGCTAATTCTTGATAATCCTTTCTTGATTTACCATCCTAAAAAAAAAGAATTTTTTATATTTATGATTATGATTTATTTTATTATGGTTGTGTATACAGATTGTTTAAATTATTTTAAGCAAGCTACTACAAAACTGTAATTAACCTTTTTGTAGATCCTATTATCTATTGCATCTCTGTAGAATTTTTCAGCTTCAAGATGTTGTTTATTTATCCAAGTTCTATTTGGAGTTTCAATCCTCTTCAATGTAACAATGTCTTTTTCAAGATCATTCCAGACAGATTTCAGGTGTTTAAAAAGCTGGTTTTCTAGACCAGACGTTTTACTACTGGGATATATCTTGTAAAGTGGGTAATATGTCTTTCCAATATATGATGTCTACAAGCAAGGAAAAGTAGTGGCCTTCCCAACTTATCGGCCATTCTTGTTATAACTCCTTGGTCCTTTCCAGTGTTGGAAGCTGTAGTATCAAAGCATATACGCTGTATATGATGACTAAGACCAAAAGAATCTAATAGATTATAAACTGCTTTAAACTGATTTTCCCCAGAACTTGACTCAATATGAGGAATACCTAGGAGCTCAGTTTTCCCATTCACTTTCACTAGTACTGCTAATCTTTCTCTTGTAACTGAAACTTTATCTGTATATTCTTTGAATATTTTCCCGTCAAAGTGAACAGAAATCAGCTTATATTTGGAGTCAGTCAAGTCTTTTATATACTGTCTAATTTTTTGAGCTTCCGAATTTATTACTTTATCTACAGCTCGAAGAGATGATGATTTGGACACAACAAATTTATTTATTTCTCCTCCTGAAATTGCTATAACACTGCTTATGATAGAAGTGTGCAGATTGATAGAAAGACCTTCTCCTACAGCAGTTAGTGCTGTTCGCTTTAAAACATCTTTAGGCAGTAATAAACTTTGCTCTTCTTCATGAGAATCGTCATTTGACTCACTTGTAACAGACTCGAGGCATTCTGAGCTTAAAGAAAAATCACTAAGATCACCTTCTGAGCTATAAGTTGCATCTAAATCTCCTATTTTTTCTGATGATTCAGTTTTAATTTTTTTTTTTCAGATGATGTATGTCATGTCCTAACCAGAATACCCTTTTAGATTCTATTAAGAAGTTCTCTCTATCTTTTATTGCTCCTGGTGTTGATCTGTTTTTTAGCGATTGCAGCTTTTTATATTTCATTACTACAGCCTCGACTTCTTTCTTAAAAATAAGACTTATTAAATAACTGTATAGCTAATTTAGATTAAGATTTCATAAATATTACTAACCGTAAAACGCATTGTATGTCACGAGTTCTGTATCCACCAAGTTCCCATGAAACTTTCAGCTTAGATATAACGCAGCAGTTCTCTCCCGAATCTGGACATTTTGGTGTAAATGTTGAACCTTTGTTTGGACAACAAACTAAGTTTTTGAGAGAAGTTGATGGTTTGGACTCACGTAAGCAAAGATAATACTGTATAACTTCTTCTACAGTTGCAAATTGAATAGATGATAGAACCTTTCTAGTTTTTTTAACTAAGAATATTTCTTGGCCTCTATTTTTCATTTTTTTAAGAATTTTCGGCATAATTTTTTATTTTACTTTTTATTATATGTAAATAAATTATAATAAAATTGATTTTTATTTTAAAATTAACACTTTACCAACGTTAATAAGTTTTGTTTAATGTTATTAAAATAGCAGATGTTGAACATTGAGTATGATTATTACATTTGAACAATGAGATCATACCGCTGTCATTGAAATAGTCGCGTGTATAGAAAATTCATTAGATTTGAAAAATAAATTGTTCTAAGGTATTTTTAAAGGACATTTTTTAAGTTTTCAAAAAATAAATTGAGTTAAAGTGCCTTTTTATTTTTTTGTATAGGTCCTTGCAAGAATATGTAAAAAAAAAATAATTTGAATTTAATAATGTTTAAGGGTGGCACACGGGGGTCAAAAAACATCAGAAAAGGGTAAAAAAAAAAAGTACTTTTAAGCCCTGTGCCACCCTTAAACTTCAAAAAAAAAAAAAAAAAAAAAAATCATATATATAAAACAAGGGTCTGTGCACCTTATAAACTTCCACTCTAGTCGTAAAATTTTTTTGACCTAAATTTGAACCACCCTAATGTTTAATTACTAAATATTTTTGGAAAGTTGATAATTCAATCATATTAGTTATAAGGCTAATAATTTATGTCGTGTGAATTGTGGACAATTAAATCAATTGCTTTAATTTGCGACAGATTTGTCACCATTTGTTCTTCACATAATAATTTAAAAACAAGTCTTAAACCTAATTAATAAAACTAATTTATTCTTTCTTCGCAGCTTTTCATTTCAGCTTGATTTATCTATAAATTTGTTTTTAAATTTCTCAATATTAATTATCAATATTATACATAAAGACCATGCGTTTAAATCTATTTGTTACATATCCATTCATCATTTTTATGTTCTTTATAAATGGCTTAACATACTTAAATCAGTTTTTTTGTATATAATTCCGCTAGCATGTTTTTGTTCACTAAATATTTTTCGATGATTGTATATATGATTTCCATAAGTGGTCGGTAGTGAACAATAATCAAAAAAGAATTAAAAAGGAAGAAATTTGTTAATAAAGGAATGTCATTCATTAACGGTGAGATCTGTTATATTTATCTGTTACATACTGTTTCATATAATATGAAAATATATATATAATTTATGCATAAATTTTATTAAAATTAAAAATGCAGTTATAGTCAAATGGAATAATGCTGATCAAAGATCAATCCCAAAAATTTTAGCAACTAAGTTGAAAAATGCACCCGCAATGCTGAAATCTTTGCTATAATTTGGGCGAAAATTAACTAAGCATTAGTTTATTGTATTTTAATTTGTACATACATGCTACATTTTAAAAGAAAAATTGAACTCAATCTAAAACTATTTGTAATTTTTTATGGTTTTAATTATAATAGACGCAATTATTATTATTTTATTTATTTAACACCCAATTTACAAGGTAAAAAGAAAAAAATATGAAAGTTATTTCGGATGACTTTGCTTAAAAACGTTTTCTTCCAGAATTTGCTTGAGAACTCCTCTTTGCTCTTTTGCATTCCAGCACTCTATTGCATACTTCAGGTTTCGTTCAACTTCGGAAGGAATTTTACTTTTAGAAAGTGGTATTTTTACCTTCTTTTTATTTTGAATTAAGTTTTGAAAATTTAATATCTGAAGATGGCATAGTTCCTGAATATCACTAACAAACGAATGTTGAAATAACGGGTGTTGCAGTTGTGAAAAGATAATGTCTGCAGTTGTTTTGTTATTAAAAAGTCGAAGGAACAAGTTTAACTTATTTTGTTGAACACTTTTTGAAATTTCCTGGATTTTAAATAACGAATTCATATAGTTTTTACTATGTTTTGAAACATTTAAAAACGATTTTAGCGCACTCCTTCCAATTATATCTAGCTTTTTCATCAGACCAGGATTATTTTCACATAGCTCCATACCATAAGTTAAGGTGGGGACTGCCAATGATTTATATATATAGGAAATAGAACTGGGGTGGGCAAACCGGATTCCAGATTGAATAAGAGTTTGAACAACAGCTCTAAAGTTTGATATTTTTTCATCAACATTTGAATAACCGAGTGAAGCAAAAACTGAATGTTTAGTATCCCATGTGAATCCCAGATGTCTAAGTTTATTCTGAAGATTTTTTTTATTACCAGAAATTGTTATTGTATTAGTTTGTATTTGGGCTTTACCTGAGATCAAGAACTCAGTCTTTTCGGCATTCAGTTTAATACAATTTAGATTACTGTAAATATTGCATGTTTTTATAAGCTTTTTGAGACCAGATAAGGTAGAGCTTAAAAGTATTATATCATCCGCATAGGCTACCACACCAGTAAAGTTACCGTTTATAGATGTGCCAACAATACCCTGATTTTTAATAGTTTCGAGAAGACTTTCAGTGTAAATATTATAGAGGTGAGGCGAAAGAATTGATCCTTGTCTTACTCCTTGGTTTAGAGGAAAAGAGTTTGATTTACAACCTTGATATGAGACTGTTGCGCTACTATTGTTATACAACGAGGAGATAGTGTTAACTATACATAGTGGTAATTTTTTATCGAAATATAATTTTTCAAATAGGATATTCCAGTTACAGCTATCGAAAGCTTTTTCTGCATCTAAAGAACATAGATACACAGGGGAATGGTTGCTGTTGTAATGTTTAATTGTTTCGCTTATTAGAAATTCAGCATGTAGCGTTGAAGAGTTAGCATTGAATCCAAATTGTAGGGAGTGAGTATCTCTAATATCCGGACATATAATTAAGATCAGGTATTCTAGAACCTTTGTAAAAATTGGTATAATACTAATACCACGATAGTTGCTTGGGCTATCTAAAGACTTTTTGTACGATTTAACAAGGGGTACAATAGTTGACGTCGACATTGATATTGGAGTCGATCCATAATTAATAGAGTAATTAAAAAATTTGATGAGCCATTTTGTTAAAGTATCACACTTTGCGTATTTCAAATGTTCTGAGATACCGAAAGAGTCAGGAGATTTTTTTAATTTTAAATTTGAAATAGCCCCAATTATATTTTCTTCAGTTATTTTTACATCATCATGTTTTGTACACGGGGGAATTCTCTGATTTTCTTTACGATGAGTTATTTTTGGAGTATTCAGTACTCTTTCGAAGTGGTTTGCGAATTCTGAAGTAATAGATTCTTTGTCTTTTTTATTATTTATGGTAAATAATCTAGAATTTATGTCTTTGTTTAAACATCTAAAAGCATTCCAAAAGTTTTTTGGTTTAGTATTTTTTAACTTTTCAATTTTAATATATTGTGCGCAAATTTTATTATTTTGAGCCGACTTGACGGCTTTACGAAAGTTTTTACGAGCCATTTGGTAACGGTTAAATGATACCGAGTTTAACTCTTTAGAAAAACCAGAATCTCTCCATTTTTTAAAATGAATTGAAAGAATAGTTTTAGACCGACTTAATTCAGGTGTCCACCAAGATTTTGAATACAAACATTGCTTTTTATTTTTTAAAGTCTCCTTAAAAGCTATTTGAGCGCTGTCAGTAATTTTTTTATAGATTTGGAGAAGGTCGTATTCATAATCGTTAGTAAAATTAAGATTGTTAAAGCGATTGGTTAAATGAACATTGTAAGAATTTATAAAGTTAGAATCGTTCCAAGCGTAGCTAGGTATATTAGTATCTTCTGCTAGTTCAATGGTATTGCATTCGGTGTACTTAACTTCAACTGATATTGATAGTGGTAGGTGGTCGCTCAAATTATTTGAGCATTCAGGATGAACAATGCATTTAAGATTTATAAAACTTGTATATTTTGATACGGCGAAGTGATCAATATATGACGAATTCGGTAGTGTCTGGTGTCGATATGTATAATTAGGGCCAGAACCTTTAGTTACATCAACTAGTTCTAATTGATTTGTTTTTAAAAATTCCGATAAGTGCACAGAATAACTATTTCTTTTAGAATTTGATCTTTCAAATAAATCATACATTTGGTGAGGAAAGGATTGGAAGTCACCTGCTAATATTATATTGCCGTTACCTTCGTAACTATCAATTAGACCTTTAACAGTATCTAGTTGACCTTTATATTCTTCCAGAGACGAGAGGTTATTCCGCGATGAGGAGAGGTATAACCCAATAACTATAATATTAAGATTGTTTTTTTCGAAATTTATTGCTAAAATATGGTCGTCCTCGTAAATTACCCTTATATTTTGGAATTTATTTTTTCGTACAAAAAACGCATTTCCGCCAAACGGTCGGCCTTTTTCATGTTTATTAGACTGATGGAAATAAATGGAGTGTGTGTTATTAGATATATCCCTTATTACGGAGTATTCAAGTTTAGATATCCAATGTTCACATAAGAAAGTTATATCATAGGATTGTATAAGTGACTTTGTAAAATCAATGTTTGACTTAAGTCCCTGACAGTTGAAAGTACATATATCGAAAGTTGTTGAAGATTTGTTTTCTTCTCTTATGGTGCTTGGATCCATTTTCAATTAATATTTGTTATTCCCCCGTTGGATACCAGATGATCCACGTTACAATATATGCGCTTTTTACGGAATGGTTTAATGATGATATTATTATTCCATAATGAAGGGTTGAAAATTTTATCTTTTTCTGAATTACTTACGGAGACTCTATACGATCTGTTGAATTCGTTTTCTCTGTTTAAAGTAATTGATATAGGCGTAACACCTAATTCAGTTTCCATATACAATTTCATATGTTCTTCGTTGATTCGATTGCTAACACCACCTATAAAAACTTCAAATCTACGAATTATTCGACTACCAGCAATAGTCTCATTTCCCGGAGTTTTCGTTCCAAATATAGGCTCCAATAACTTATGTTTTTTTTCTAAGGTTAGAATATTTGTTTGGCGGACAGGTTTATTATTTTTTCCAACTAAATTAAAACTATTCGGATTATCGTCAATATTTGAAGGTTTTTCTTTAAATTGGTTAGTTTTGTCTGAGGT